AAATCCTTTATTGCATTTGGTTTCTTTGATGTGTGTTATATTTCTCATAATTGCATAACTTGACATGTTGCTGATACCCAAGTGTTGAATGAACTAATATGCTAATTAATAAGCACACCTGCTCACATGATATCAAGCCAAATCAAATACTTTTATGATTTCCTTGTTTAATATACCAAATAAAAAATTCATGTTAAAGGCCATATTACAAAAACATATTACAAACCAATGCATGCTCGCTTACTGTAAACCATCATTAAAAAATAAAGCTATAATTATTACATCAGCTTTCATCACAATGCTCATGAACATGCTGATGCATCTTTCCATGCATGTTATACTGCCCTCACAGGTAGAACCATCCATGCACCAAACAACCTAGGAGACGTAGTGAAAATAAAAAAACTAGCTGTAGCAAACATTAGTTAAAAATTTAAAAAATGAAGAGAAAAGCAGCGTTGCTATGGATATTCATAATATATGTTCCTCTCAGAAAAAGAAACAACTGAAGTTAGAGCTTGATCAAAAACCGGCCGAGGAAAAAGTGACGAGGCTAAAGAAACGAAACGCAGAGCTCGCTACCATAGCCAGACAACTTGAGGAGAAAGCAAAAGCCTTACAACATCAAAACATGCGAGTGGTAAGCGCTGTGTGTTGCCAAGCCTGTCACAAATTACACACTAATGTCAGTGTCTTCATCCTAGATTTAGTATACATGTATGCTGTGCATCATTGCTATATTTCTAGTCCATGTATTCGTCCTTATTTGTTCAGCCTTTCATACGTGCTTCAGTCTTGCCGTACACTAAATACACCACATGCCTTGGTGTCTCCATGACAACCTTATAAACTGTACTCCACATATGACTCAAGTTCTCATCCCTTGTTCTTCTTGTATCTGATCTGACTTTGAATAAATCCATATTATCACATTACCCATACTTGTTTATATGTAAAACAATTTTTTTTTATTCTGGAGAATGACAGTTTGTTGATTTACTTTTAAAGCCAATATTGTTAATTATTAACTCTTTGAACAACACTCTATAAATAATACTTTCACTCAGAATTTATTTTCGATGTAGGGATGATTCAGTGAAAATAAAACCCAGTGAATATACAATTTTTTCTGTATTTTACACTCAAGACATTAATAATCTGTGAAAATAATCCCCATACAAAACACCCAAAAAGTCTTTTCAGAGAAAATTAATTCCTGCTATTAAAATAAAAGTATTTTACAATTATTACCTACCATGGTATTGGGTACGAATAACGATCAAATTCTTCCAAAAAAAAATTAAATATGAAAGTACCGGTAAAGCAAAAAATCTGTTTCATAATATAAGTTGATGTGTCAGTATATTTTTGTTTCCCATTTCGTTATGATAGTTTGACGGATTTCCCTACAAAATGTACGCTATGCTACGCTACGCAACTGTGAAGTGCATAAATCAAAACAAAACAGTTTACAGTACTTCAATACCTTGATCACAAATTGGAGTACAGGCTTTGTCCCAAAATGAAATCCCCTCTTTTCATATTTGGAGTCTGAGAAGCAGTATTTGAAATTTGCGTTTATTCAAATTGCTGTCACATGCGGTTTATCATGCGTGTATTATTAGTTGTACACCAGACAGCTGATAACACTGTAATGATAATAAAAAACAACTGATCATTGGATTATACTTTAACTGGAGACACATTTTAAACACAATATCAAATTACAGCTAAAGACTCCATGTTTTAAGCATATTTTAGAACACTCCTATAAGGACATGCTGCCTTGTTTTTGTGCATGACCTCAAAAGGTCACACATTCTGGCACTGAGAGTGGGGGTTCTTGGTAGTTGTTGCAATTTTTTTTCAAATATTATAACTCAGTAAAATTGTTTTTTATTGACAACTGCTTGTATTTGGGGGGGGGGGGTAATATTTGAGAAATACCAGGATGTGTGCAAAAGGAAATTGTAGTAATAATTTCATTGTTTATTTTATTATACTGATCTGATCGATTAATCTATACAAGATACAATATAGTTATTGTTGATAAGTATGAAAAAGATCAATATATTCAATGAGTGTGATACCAATACACTACTTTCTCTGAAATCATCCCTGTATGGAACAAACTAAAACTACCCTGGTGTCAGCTGCAATTCGAAATTGACACTCTTGAACGTCAAATTCAGTTCTCCCTGCATGTGTTTAATGCTTCACACTAAAATAAATTTGAAGTTTACAGAATTAGAACAGAATGTTCACTGTTTAGTTAATTGGAACTGATATGTTTAATTTAGTACTTAATCTGCCATCTACTTTATTGGTTTATGTCCGCGTGCCTCGGTTTCCTATATTTTAAAACTGATTTTTGAGTATGTTCCAACAATGACAATGCTCTGAAATTTTAACACTATCTAGCCAAGACTGTCTGGGTGAGAAAAAGCAAAAAAAAAAAAGAATTCACGAAAAATGCCCATGAACCTGCATCTCTACCTTAAGTATAAGTTGCAGAGGATGACAACTGAAATGTGGTGTTTTTTTCAAATAGAATATTTGCAATGATGGCATTTCACAGAAGTCGCCTTAATCTGAACAGCTATTTTTTTTAGTTGTGGTTGTATTGATAATTGTTGCTTTTATGCCACTTCAAGTGACCTTGGTATTACTACTGAATGGTGATAATTCCAATAATCAATTAATCTTTCAACAGCGTCCTTATTATAAACTATAATACTGCTATGATACGTAGTTCTACGCATATACATTGGGAATTGGGCAAGCAAAATGTTTCGCAATCGCTAAGATGTCTGAATTACTTCAATATTCAAGTTAATTAGTCATGGATTATATTTTACAGTTATTCCAAGGCACCACACAACCGGGGTCTGTCAGCGAGGTAGCGTACTGTTTACAAGCAATATATTGTATATACGTCAGTAAGGTGTTAGTTTATGTATTGTGTTGTTCTGACGTAATATATTGTATGCGTCATGTTTTCGTATGTTGAACAATTCCAATCCTGTCAAATCCTTATGGTCATCTGTCACTCGGCACATATGGGAATGACGTTTTAATGGTTTGGGTCATCATACTGTACTTTTGGAAGCAAGGACATGAAACATTCGCCCTGAGGGATT